CCGTATCTGCCGCGTATCGCAGAAATGGGATGGGAGATTGGAGCGTACAATTTGTGAGTTAAGGAGTCCTTTGATTATATGCATTTGCTGGTCACTTTCTTCAATCCCAATGCAGTCTTCGGTAAAAGAGAAAGTCACTCTAATCAATCAAGTCTAATTGACATATAATAGAAACAAAAAAATCAGAAAAACAAAACTAATCAAAAAAGGCGGTCAACGAAAAATAAGGTGTCTTATCGAGTGGCCCGGAGTTGGGTTGAGTGCGGTAATTGCGGTTCGAAGCCGCGAGACAACTAGAAAAGGTTTGCCGCATGCCGCAAAGCGAACGTGAGAAATCGGGGAAAATTTCTGCCACCCCACCGATGCTGCTCGAGTGCGTCTCAGGCACGACATTCGTCCAGTTGCGACCACTTCGTGTATTCATTTGTAGTGTCGTGTTATTCGCAGAAAGTAGAATCTGCAGTATAAGTGTCAGGCTGAATCGGCCGAGCAACTTCTTCTGTTCTAATTCTTTTACAGGATGCGCCATAAATATGGTAACAAAATAATTGGGCTAAACAGACTGCAATTTATTTTGGTGTATTGTGAATTCATGTCAACTATTTATTATACTATGCATCGTGTCGACTGCAAGAGATGAGTGCTCGAAGCGTCTTCGAGGTATAGTTAGTACAAGAAACGGATGTCATGGATACTACCGTTTCCTGTATTAATCATAGCTTGAAGACGCTTCGAACACTCATCTTTTCTGAATACATTTCTTAGGGAATGATTCCGTCACCTAATCTGCAGAAGAATGGCAAATGGCTGTCATTGTGAATGGTTCCCTTATTTCGGTTGAGAAAGTCTTCCTCGAGAAATTTCTGACAATAAGAGTCAGAAAGCAGGGACTAATAATCATCAAGAAACTCTGTTTGCTCTCGAAGCCTACGCAAAGTTTCTTGAGGATTATCATTCCATGCTTTCTTTAACAATTTCTTAGTAGCAGAGCTGTGTCTTATTTGTAAGCTCAGGCTTCGCTCCCCCGTGTGGACCATACCCGCCCGTCCACTGGATCGCGATTCTAGGAACTCGTCGGCCAATCGGAAGCAGCAGTAAAATCGCCATCATTTCCACATTACCTTTCCAGATCTTTTTCCGTCTGTAAGCAGGTGCTCGGATACCCTTCAGATAATCTTTGATATGTACTTCTCGAATATGTACTCTATGAAGGGATGCAATTAATTTTCATAGCTCACTTGCTAAGGTAAGCAGTGTCCGTCTGATACAGTTTGAAGGTAGAACCATCACGGAGGAAGGAAGTAGCTACGAGAGATCATCTCGCCCTTCTCATGGCTTCGGTATCATAGTGGGAAATATATGTACACTCTGAGACTTCATCTGGCCATTCTCATGGCTTCGGTATGATAGTGGGAATTACACGTACACTCTGAGATCAGAAAATTTCTCCCACGCCAAACAACGTTTTATTAGAGAAAAGTGTCGAGTCGCGTGATGCGTGCAGATAGGGCCCTACATTTGCTTCCTTTCTCGAACTTCTTATTGTCGGGAATTTCTCGAGGAGGGCCTTCCCAATTGAAATAAGAGATCCATTCACTTCGACAGCCATTTCGTCATACTTCTGCAGTTCAGGTGACTGAATCGTTCCCTGAGAATTGTATTCAGAAAATAGGTAACCGCGCACTAGACGGAACGTTTGGTGGATGAGGGCAAGGCTACACCATTCTTCGGAAAAAATAATTTGAGAGCAGTAAAAGGATGTGAGTAAAGGTGTTCAGTAGTTTTATAGAATGTGCTGATTTCAATTTCCCCAAACTCTGTTTTTCCGAAATGTTGTTATCATATTTACCAGTCGGCTAACGTCAGGCTCTCCTCCTTCTAGTGTTAATGTTGATCCGCCGCCTGCACTCTCCCAAGTATTAAATCTCTGGTCTAAGAAAACAGGAGCTATTGATTTCCAGCGAAACACACACACCGACACACTTCGTGCGTTGGGTTCCCTCTTATTCCAATTTGACTGCGTGTATTCACTCGAAATACACTGAATTCGTCACGCTCCATGCATCCCCCTATGTTTCCGCGGGCTGGATCTAGTTCATTTACTTTCTACTACGACCATCGGTTTCTTAAATCTGCCGCCTGCATCCATTCCATATTTGAACGCCTCGGGTCGAAATAGGCAACTTTCGTGTTTGTCCCGCCTCCTATGGGCGGGGTCGAGTCCTACCACCTACCATTAGTGTTTCCATCCTGCAACTCCTGCCATCTGTTCCCTTAATGAATTTGAACTCTTTAGGTGCACGGGGACAGGAGTTGTGAATTTCCACTCAAACCCCGCATACGGTGTGTGAAGTCCTTTCCTGCCATTCAGCAGAAGTGTTCCCATCATGCCGTCAGTATTCCTACGAAATTTGAACGCCCTAGGTGAACGGGAACAATAGTTATGACTTTTCGTTCAAACTCCACTCACTGTAGGCGGAGTCCGGCCCTGCCACCTACCATGAGTATTTTCATCCTGCCGCCTGTATTCCTAGCAAAATTGAACGCTTTCGGTCCACGGGGGCAGGAGTTATGAATTTTCTGTTAGGCACACACACATACACACACCACACACACACAAACATGCACACATACACACATAAACACACAAACAAACATGCACATACCAACAGATACACTTCGCCGATTAGCACATTTGTAAGCAGTAGGATAGAAACTACTCTGTGTATAGCTGTAGATATGTCGAAGTCACATGAAAGATCTCAACCAACTTCTGGATTGTTTCTGGTTACTAACTCAAACACCAGCGCAACAGCAGGTTCACTACCTTGCATCAATGCGTTCAAAGGCACGGTTTACGATGAAAAAAGGTTACTGAGTTCTTCCTTTAGTAATACTCAGCGCCCCCCATGGGTGGTAGAAGGGACCCTCTCGCTCCCACAATCTCGGCGCTTAGGGCATAGTGGAAGCCCCGTTGCTGCCGTAGTTCGCTTTCCCGCCCCTCGATCGGTGTCTCGTTAGACGAGTGTCGAGACAATACAGATTGCTATTATTCGTTCTAGGACCCACGCACAATCAGTTAATCGCCGAGTGATGAGGCGATGTTTTTCTCCCATTCTTTTTTCCCCTGTTTTTCTTTTTGCTGCCGCGATCCCTTATTTAATTTCCCACTCCTAGAGGCTGAAAAAGGTGAGCTACTTTTGCCGTTACTAGGGTTTTTTGCTTATGCTTATAAGTGAATGAATTTTTGCTTACCATTGCCTGTTATTCGCACCAGGACCCACACGCGCGCGGTGAAACACACTGTTTAGCTCGTCCGGACGTCCCACTCTTCTTCATTTTTCTGGTTTCATTTTCGTCCAGCCCCCTTTTTACCGGTTTTTCGAAACCTTTCTTCACTTTGGAAACACCGATGCCCGCAGTTTCTTCACCTCAGTCGCACTAGTTTCGATCTTGTCTTCCATTTTTCATCATAATCTGGATTACCCAAAATTATCGTGAATTGTGCCTTTAATTGCGCCTAGGTACGATATCGTCCGGGTGCGAAAAGTCCATATATACATCCGCTGTAACTTTGGATAGGGTATTGTCAAACGTAGAGCTAAGGTCTAGCTTGTCATCTTCGTTTATGTCTTCTGCGATTAGAAGGAAAGCGCAATTCTTTTTCCTCCTAAAAGTCATATTATTTTGATGGAGATAGCTATTCTTTTTCACTTTCGTGACGCAATGCTAAAAGGCTTCTGCAGTTAAGATTGGTTTTATGAAATGTGGCAAACGACTGGCTATCGGTGCAATCTTTCGAAGGAGCCTATCGTAGGAGTTGGTTTGAGAAAATCATGTGGGCTAGAGATGCTCTGACGGCAAAGAAATTTTCTTGTTTAGAAAAAAAGAGGGCTTATCAGGTGTCACCCTTTACCCTTTTAGGCAGGAATGTTTTCCATAGTGCATCCTCCTAGTAGATTAGTATGTTGAAATATTTTATGAATAATAATTTTAACATAAAATACAATACCTGTGGAAGTTAGTTCAAATTTATTGAATAATTGGAAGTTCCAGATAAATGATGGAAAAGGAAAAATAGATGCAGAACGTAAAAAAGAAGAGTAAAGTAACGAGAGTACTGGCACCATGGTAGTTAGAGGACCGTCTAGATTTCGCCAGATTAGAAGAACAGAGAGACGGAAACAGGAAGAATAGTTGTAAACAGGAACAAAGCGGCAGCTTGTAATATATGAAGCTTTATGTTCACAAATACAGCTCCTGCAACGATCATCCAAGAAAATATTATTGCTATATTTAGCTATTGTTGTTAGCATGTTACCTATATAATTCTTTTTTACAGCTCTCTTTGTTTGCACCATGATTATTATTTTTAATTTTCAATGTTACCATTTTTGTTGTTGTTTTCATCGTTGCTGTCAGTTTCTCTCCTTTTATTTCAACTCCTCCTCCTGTGCTCGAACGAGGTGATCCCAATTCAGAAGGTCATTCCAGTCATAGCCTAGTTTTTCCAAAAATTAAAAAAAAAACACTCAGCTTCTTCTTATTCCTCGCTTCCAGCAAGATAATCCAGTTGGTGGAACATTTCGACTATCATGGGCATTGTTGTCTAGTCTTCAAACTTTATGGCCTCAGTGTTTTCGATTTCCAGGTAATTTTGTGGGTATAATTTTTTCTACCCTAGAGTCTCAGGTATCATTTTCCCTACCCTAGAGTTTCTGAGTTATATAAATACGAACTTTTTCAGAGGAAATACAATTTCCGACCCTATCACATTGAAGACACCAGGCACATTATGTATCAGATTTGTTATGCAGTAAAATTTTTGCATGACAACAAGCTGACTCACACAGACCTTAAGCCAGAAAACGTTCTCTTCGTTTCTGATGATTGTTATACGGAGAAAGTTGGAAATGTGGTTTGTTTGTCTTCAAACTTACGGCTCCTTTTGTTGATTGAAACTGAGAATTATTTCGTAATGTTCATGTGCTCGTATATAGACTTTTCATCGGCCGAAGAATACAAACGTAAGGCTCATCGACTTGGGATCAGCAACATTCAACAATGAGCACCATTCGGCTATTATCTCGACTCGCCACTATCGTGCTCCTGAGGTTATACTCGGTAAGCCCTTCAGCTGTGATATCAATGCATTGCATCATTGAGTTTCTTTTTTCTTGAACTCTTCACGAGGTTTTTAAGTATGCTTTATTAG